CAGACTTCAGGTCCAGGGTGAACATGTAGTCCTTGGGGCCTAGCCAGCCTGGGACCTGCGCAAGCGACTCATAACGGAACTCCGGGATGTGCAGGTGCTTATTGACTTCGCGTCCATCCCAGATGAGGCGGAGCTTGCCTTTCTGCTCTACGACGCCCAAAGGACAGGTCATGAAAGGGCGGGACTGGCAAGGTTTGATGGTCTCTGACTCCAGCAAACCCTCGATGGCAGAAGACACAAAATCCCCGTGGTCCCGTGCAGATTGGTGATTCTTGCCCCAGTACGGCCGGGGGGGAGGTCCTGAGTGCCACATCAGAGGGAACCCTTGCAGGACCCAGCTCAGCACGAGCTGGTTCACCACTGTCGCCTTCCAGACCGCGGCACAGGCTCTCAAACGCCCCCGCATCTTAGGCCTATCCTTGCTACCCATGCTAGGAGGTGTGGCTTCACAAGGCGGATCAACAGGCAAAGGTGCTGGGTTCTCACCTTCTGGGACCGCTTGTTCATTCCTCGAAGGGGCTCCTGGGTCTGGATGTGGTTCCTGGGCTTGGCGGGCGACCTTGGTCCGGGGCCGGGTGGGCTCTGCAGGGCCGGGTGCGGGACGCTTGGCGGTGTTCTTGGTCTCCACTTGTGTGTTGTCTCGTTGGGCAGGGGGGGGCTGCGCGGGGCGAGGGGCTCTAAAACCCGCGGCGACGAACAGTGCGCCCAGTACTGTGGCGGCCAAATTCTCTGCATTGCAAGAGACAAAGGATAAAAGAGGGGGAGATGAGTAGAGGCCGGGGCTCCTGGCGACTGAGGCTACGAAACGGTGGGAAGCCGCCCCTCCTGGGATGACGGAGAAAACCGAACAGGCTACTCAGGGGCGACCTGCGCCGCAGGGGACGGGGCCACCAGAGCCATCAACCTGTTTGATGCCTCTCTGTCGTTGTTGGGTACATGCATGAAGAGGGGAACTCGGACGGAGGAAAGGACAGGTCCAGCCTGAAGCCGGCCACCTGGGCCTGGAAGCCGCCATGGTCAACAGGACCGAGCCAACATGGCAATAAGGCCCCAAGGCCAATCACAGGCGCCACCAAGGGCAAGAGCTCGCGCGCGTTACAAAGAAACCTCCCTCCAGGGTACAACTTGGTCCGACATCTTCTAGCGGTGGAAGGTCTGGAAGAGACCGGATGTGCAACTTAGCATAACAAGTCTTGTCAAAGATTGGGCCAAAGCATACTCCGTTCCAACCCAATAATGTTTGTCGGACTTGTGGGCCCCTGCAACAACAACGACCGCGAACTGCACGGAGGGGCCACTGAGCGAGCTTAAGAAAAAAGGAGGGGGGTAGGATCGGTGCAGTGCCAGAGTCAAGCAACACAAAGCCCAACAGAATCCTAATCAGCCACGCTTAGCCGGGCTGCGAGAGCGGCTTCGGTCACGCTGGCTGCGCCGGTCGTAGCGGTCATAGCGGCTGCGGTCGTTCCGGCGTGCACTACCAAACGAATCCCGCACTCCACCCTGCCGGTCTCTCCCTCGCCAGAAGGAACCCGGCCTGACCGTCCCTGTCCGCCGGCCACCGACTTGGGCGTTTAACCTAAGCCACCTTCTATGTCGCCCTTATCTAGGGCCCCCGGTTTTAAATCCGGCCTTGGGGAAATTCCCCCCCCGCCCTGGCACAATTTCTAAGGGGGGCGGGAAATTAACGTTGGCTCCTCGGGCCGGCCTTGGCCAGAGCAACGGAGTAGCACTTAAGGCGGCGGTGAGCGATCTTGAGGCATTCTCCCGCGACGACCAGCTGAGTTTCGTTCGCATCCAGCGCGGTGATGGCGGTCTCTAGCAGCATTAGCGTCTTTCGTCGAGCTGCTCCCGCTGCTCGTGTGAGGCTGTCAGCTTCGGTGCGTCATTTGCTTGAACTTCCGTCCTTATTGCTGCTAGCTGTTCTCTTGCGGATGGCATGATGGTCACGTCTTTTGTGATGACAACGTCAGGAGAGCGATCCCGAGGCGGTGCTGTCCGGGGATCCCTGGCTGGCGCTTTTGGCGCGTTGGCCTGCGCTGCTGACAGGACGCCCAGCAGCAGCTGGTGAAGAGTCGGCTGGTCTATGTTCCCGCTCAAAGTATCGATGGCGGCTTCTATGTCGTTTTGGTTGGCTGGCAGCATCTGGCCCGATCCCCCTTCGCCGGCTGCTTCGGCCGCTCCTGCGTTGACCAGGTTATCTCCCGTTGCCTTTGTCCTCTTACCCGTCATTTTTTGATTTTTTGTGACGGAGCTCCTGGTTGTTCCTCGGAGAGTGACAGGTCCGCGGCGATGTCGATTCGTTGTGGTAGAGCGTCGATGAGGCTTGAGGGTAGTCGGTAAGGTCTTGGATAAAAGTGAGAGCAACAATAATAATAAGCTCCAATAGTGTAGGCAGAATGCCGGAACTATGGAGCTGTCAGCTGAAATAGTAAATTCGAATTCTCAGCAAGCCATACGGCTGCCGTACATAACCTAGCTTAGAGGCTATACTCGCTTTGCTCCTGCCGCATCTAAGCTACAATTTTAACAACTTTGTTGACGACTCTGTCTGCCTCGTAGCTCAGTACGACCCTTTAACAACCTGGTTGCTGGAGTTGGGACTCTGATGAGTGGATGTATTCTTGCCCGGCTGGTTGTACGGCATTAGAACTACGTCGGCTCGCCATGTATATAAATGTCCGCCTGGTGCGGTGCACTGCGGAGGGCGGTGTTGTGGTTGGTTGTGGTTGGTTGAGAGGGGCGAGGGTGGGGTATGGATGTCGCGAGGTTTGTGTAGAATGCATGTACGGAGACAGAGGTCGTACGTACCAGTATGTACGGCCCCTGATCGTCATGGTATGGCA